GCAGGAACAGAGGGCTGCGCTTGTTCCCACACACAGAGGGTGTGCGTCACAGGAGCCCCTTGGGCTGGCCTGGCCCCAGGGGTCTGGGGCAGTGTGGATGCGGCGGGAGGCCCCAACCCAGGCCCAGCTCCTGGCTCTGCTGCCGAGGGTCCCACCCTCTCGCCTCCTGAACAGGCTTGCCAGATGCGACACCCAGGACCTACTCATACTAAAATTTCCTCCTGGGCACCCTGTGCATCCTGCGCTCATCTGGCAATGACGCCTGCAGGGTGAGGCCCAGTGCCCCCAACCGAAGGCTCCAAGTAGGGCAGAACCTCTGGGAATGCCCGTGGAGCAACGTGCACCAGACCCGCGCCAGGAAAGCCACTGCGTACCCCTCAGCCCCCAGCGGACTGTCAACAGCCTCTCCCTCGGGCTGCCCAGGACCTGAGTCGGCCCTGCCCCCACACTGCAGGCCCCGCCCACGGTCACCTGTGTAGGGCAGCAGGCAGTTGCACTTGTACCCGGCCACGTCATCGATACACGTGCCCTGGTTCAGACACGGGTTGGATGCACATTCGTTGATGTTGGTTTGGCAGTTGGGGCCTGGAGACAGGAACAGCAGTCAGTTGTGTCCATCACCCGGTGCTGTGGCCGGGTCCCGCCGAGGCCCCTCCTCGTCTCCCGGTGGGGAGGAAGGGCCCTGCTCCGAGCCACGGGCCTGGAGCCAACCCCCACCGGTCTGCACCACTGGCAGCAGGCACTGCCACGGGAGGGAGGCCCCTGGGTCACGCTGGCTGGTCCTGGGTCTGGCTCTGCACCAGGAGCCTCCGGCCCACTCACCACTGAAGCCTTCCCGGCAGGCGCACACGTAGCCGCTGGTCATGTCCTTGCAGGTGCCACCGTTGACACAGGGGTTGGACTCGCACTCGTTATTGTTGATGTCGCAGCTGGCCCCGCTCCACCCAGGCTCACAGTCACACTTGTACCTGCAGAGGTGACCACACCGCAGCTCGGGGGTGGCCCGAGACGTGTGGGCCCGGACCGCGGGCCCTCCTGGCTCTGCCACTCTTTCTATGGTCTGATGGCAGGGAGGCACCGGTCCGCTGATCCTTAGTCCTTTAAAGCGGGTGACAGCACCCACGTGCCCGACGTAATGGCAAGGGCGTGCCTACACTGGACTCGGGACAGCCACTGGAAGGCTCGCCGCCACGGCTGGCTGTGTAGCCTCGAATGGAGACAGCTCGCGGGCCCTCCTGGCTCTGCCACTCTTTCTATGGTCTGATGGCAGGGAGGCACCGGTCCGCTGATCCTCAGTCCTTTAAAGCGGGTGACAGCACCCACGTGCCCGACGTAATGGCAAGGGCGTGCCTACACTGGACTCGGGACAGCCACTGGAAGGCTCGCCGCCACGGCTGGCTGTGTAGCCTCGAACGGAGTGCTCGCCGCCCGTGCAAAACGACGGTGTGGGGTCCCTGCCCACGTCAATGGCCCATCCAGGCAGACAGTGCAGGGCACACACACGTGTCAGAAACCAAAGGTCAGCTTCCGCTTCTGCACACCCCAAAACTTCTCACACCAACCAGGGGAGGGGTGTGCCCCACAGCGACCAACCCTCCAGCTGGGAGACCACGGCTCAGCTCTGACACTCCTGGGAGTCAGCGCGGGCCCGCCGGTTAGGGGCTCGGTTCCCCAAGACTGCCCCGTGTCAAACGCCCCTGGAGTCTGGTCATCTGTGAGAATGGCTCCCAGGGAGAGTTCGCTTACTAGACCAGAGCCTCTTTACGAAAGGTTAAACTCGGAACAGCAGCTGGGAGAGAGGCGCAGGACGCGGGGTGGGAGAGGGCGAGGGGCTTCTGCACCCTCCCAGCACTGCCATGGTCCCCAATCCAGGCCGGGGGCACAGCTCCTGAGGCCTCGCTGCACAGGCCTGACCAGTTAAGTCTCTGGCATTTGGTGAACTCGATCTCCAGCCCCTGTACCCTCCTCCCTCTGATCATAGGGTGGGTTCCTGGCACCCAGCCCCCAGTCTTAGGCTACCTGAGCCACCTCATTAACATAAACTCAGATACACTACTGAGTAACAGGAGATGCTCCGCCCCATCATACACCTGGGGAGCTGCTTCGGGAGCCAGGAGATGGAAACGTTCACTCATTAAACCACGACCACCACAGAAACTCTGGCTGCTGCTACACAAACGTGCTTCTGGGGTCACCCAGGACCTGCCCTGAGCTAACACTGCAGCCAGTGCCCAGGGCTGAGCAGATGCCTAGATGGGGCGTATCGGGGCGCAAACAGCAGACTGTCCTCGGGAGGGGCATGCCACTTGCTCACCCAGCCAGGGCCCATTGCTAGCCCGTCTGGAGCTTTGTGCAGGCAGCCAGCCCCCAGGCCTGCTCCCTGCCAGCCACGTGCATGATGCCTCCCCGGGGGCAGAGCTCACGGGCCACAGATGGAGAGGCGGACAAGGCCCCTGTCCACCACCCCCACCCCCAGCCCAGCCCCGCCCCGCGTCCGTACCCGTTGAGGCCGTCCCGGCAGACCCCGTGGATGCAGGGGTTGCTGTCGCACTCGTCCACCTCAGACAGGCACGTGGGGTCGTGGTAGCCCTCCGGGCAGCGGCAGCTGAAGCCGTTGATGCCGTCCTGGCAGGTGCCCCCATTGTGGCAGGGGTCCCCGGCACACTCATCGATGTTGATGTTGCACATGCTTCCTGTGGGCAGTGGGGGCGGGGGGGGTGACAGTCACCTCCCAGGGCCCCCCGGAAAGGACAGGAAGGAGGGGCTTTGTGAGCAGGGCCCAGCCCTCTGAGCCTCGGTCCCCTGTCAAACCAGGAACAATAACCGACCCCTCAGCCCAGGCCTGTCCACGGCGTGACCAGGCGGGAGGCACCCCGCATGGGTGTCGTGTGCGCCCGTGCGGCAGCAGCCAGCCTGGCCCCGTGCTCTGTGCTGCGTACACTCACTCGCCCCCTACCAGCAGCCCAGGGGCAGAGCCTGCACTGTCCCGACCGCCGGACGCCTGAGGCCCAGAGAGGCCAGGACTGGAGCAAGGGCACATGGTGGCAGCGGGGACAGACCGTGAGTCCAGAGCCTGGCTGTGCTCGGCCTGCTGGGCCGGCTC